CACCAGTATAGATCTCAATGTCTCCAGCAGGCACCAGTAGAAATCTCAGTGTCCCCAGCAGGCACCAGTAGAAATCTCAATGCCCCCAGCAGTCACTAGTAGAGATCTCAGTGTCCCCAGCAGTCACCAGTAGAGATCTCAGTGTCCCCAGCAGGCACCAGTAGAGATCTCAACTCCCCCAGCAGGCACCAGTATAGATCTCGATGTCTCCAGCAGTCACCAGTAGAGATCTCAACTTCCCCAGCAGGCACCAGTATAGATCTCAATATCTCCAGCAGTCACCAGTAGAGATCTCAATGTCTCCAGCAGTCACCAGTAGAGATCTCAACTTCCCCAGCAGGCACCAGTATAGATCTCAACTCCCCCAGCAGGCACCAGTAGAGATCTCAATGCCCCCAGCAGTCACCAGTATAGATCTCAATGTCTCCAGCAGGCACCAGTAGAAATCTCAGTGTCCCCAGCAGGCACCAGTAGAAATCTCAATGCCCCCAGCAGTCACTAGTAGAGATCTCAGTGTCCCCAGCAGTCACCAGTAGAGATCTCAGTGTCCCCAGCAGGCACCAGTAGAGATCTCAACTCCCCCAGCAGGCACCAGTATAGATCTCGATGTCTCCAGCAGTCACCAGTAGAGATCTCAACTTCCCCAGCAGGCACCAGTATAGATCTCAATATCTCCAGCAGTCACCAGTAGAGATCTCAATGTCTCCAGCAGTCACCAGTAGAGATCTCAACTTCCCCAGCAGGCACCAGCATAGATCTCAATATCTCCAGCAGTCACCAGTAGAGATCTCAGTGTCCCCAGCAGTCACCAGTAGAGATCTAAGTGTCCCCAGCAGTCACCAGTAGAGATCTCAACTTCCCCAGCATGCACCAGTAGAGATCTCAGCGCCCCCAGCATGCACCTGTAGAGATCTCAGTGCCCCCGGCAGTCACCAGTATAGATCTCATTGTCTCCAGCAGTCACCAGTAGAGATCTCAATGTCTCCAGCAGTCACCAGTAGAGATCTCAGTTCCCCAAGCAGGCACCAGTAGAGATCTCAGTGTCCCCAGCAGTCACCAGTAGAGATCTCAATGCCCCCAGCAGTCACCAGTCGAGATCTCAATGCCCCCAGCAGTCACCAGTAGAGATCTCAATGCCCCAAGCAGGCACCAGTAGAGAGCTCAATGCCCCCAGCATGCACCAGTAGAGATCTCAGTATCCCAAGCAGGCACCAGTAGAGAACTCAATGCCCCCAGCAGTCACCAGTAGAGATCTCAGTGTCCCCAGCAGGCACCAGTAGAAATCTCAGTGTCCCCAGCAGGCACCAGTAGAAATCTCAATGTCCCGAGCAGTCACCAGTATAGATCTCAATGTCTCCAGCAGTCACCAGTAGAGATCTCAACTCCCCCAGCAGTCACCAGTAGAGATCTCAACTCCCCCAGCAGTCACCAGTAGAGATCATAATGTCCCCAGCAGTCACCAGTAGAGATCTCAACTTCCCCAGCAGGCACCAGTATAGATCTCAACTCCCCCAGCAGGCACCAGTAGAGATCTCAAAGTCCCGAGCAGTCACCAGTATAGATCTCAATGTCTCCAGCAGTCACCAGTAGAGATCTCAACTTCCCAAGCAGGCACCAGTAGAGATCTCAACTCCCCCAGCAGGCACCAGTAGAGATCTCAATGTCCCGAGCAGTCACCAGTATAGATCTCAATGTCTCCAGCAGTCACCAGTAGAGATCTCAACTCCCCCAGCAGGCACCAGTAGAGATCTCAATGTCCTGAGCAGTCACCAGTATAGATCTCAATGTCTCCAGCAGTCACCAGTAGAGATCTCAACTCCCCCAGCAGTCACCAGTAGAGATCTCAATGTCTCCAGCAGTCACCAGTAGAGATCTCAATGTCTCCAGCAGTCACCAGTAGAGATCTCAATGTCCCCAGCAGGCACCAGTAAAGATCTCAATGCCCCCAGCAGTCACCAGTAGAGATTTAAATGCCCCCAGCAGTCACCAGTAGAGAACCGCGCCCAGCAGGCACCAGTAGAGATCGCAATGTCTCCAGCAGTCACCAGTAGAGATCTCAATGTCTCCAGCAGTCACCAGTAGAGATCTCAATGTCCCCAGCAGGCACCAGTAAAGATCTCAATGCCCCCAGCAGTCACCAGTAGAGATTTAAATGCCCCCAGCAGTCACCAGTAGAGATCTCAATGTCTCCAGCAGTCACCAGTAGAGATCTCAACTCCACAGCAGTCACCAGTAGAGATCTCAATGTCCCCAGCAAGCACCAGTAGAGATCTCAATGCCCCCAGCAAGCACCAGTAGAGATCTCAATGCCCCCAGCAGTCACCAGTAGAGATCTCAATGTCTCCAGCAGACATCAGTATACCAGGAACCATTGCAACAGGAGAAAGGGCTGGCCGATGACAGAGATTATCTCCCCACTGGGCTGGCCGCTCGTCTTCTGCCTGCCACTCTGCACTAAAAGGACAGCTTCTGTGGGCCCCTGTAAATTATGGGGCCCAGGGCAGTTGCCCCTTTTGCCCTTCGGTAAAGATCCTCTGGTGTGGTGATGTGTAGCAGTAGCCTGAAGAGCGATAAAGTCTGAAAAAGTATTTACCCCATCCTGGTTTCCTCTATTATTGCACATTTTGACTTTTGTAATTTATTTGCGGCAACCAAGGCCAGCTGGCGCTGTGTGAAAAAGTAATTGCACCCCTTCCATTTAATAACCTGTCTATGAATCCATTGATTATCCCTTTTTCTCATGGTAGAGGAGGAAGTTTATCCCACCCCTCCATCCAAAATGGCTTTACTACAAAATACTGACTGGCGTTCTAACAGGAAATGAACCGCAAATGTCTGCGAATAGCTGCGACCGGGAAGCCTGTACAAAGCAATGGCAGGCTGATGGCGGTCACAGCAGTTCGCACAATAGACTCTATTTTAGTTTGACATTTATTGTTTACCTTCTGTTGTTTTATTTGATAAGAATACTTCTATTGTGCCGACAAGTTTAATACCTTTGAATACAAGTTTTATTTTTATCATACTTTTTAATATGTTTCTTTGCAGCTTAACAAAATAGGAGTCTTTAAATGGTGCGGGGAAATATTTGGGGTCCAAACAGACCCCTGACATTTCCCTTTTAAAATAGAAAACAAATTGAGGACACCAAATCCTCAATTTCTTTTTCAGCAGCTTCAGCGAATGGGAAGCACTCACTACAGAGGCTCCTCCCATTCATATTTACTATCACCAGGTTCTGAATGGGGAGGAGACTCTGTAGCGACTGCTTCTCCCCATTGGTGAAATCTTGAATGAACAGGCAGTTATGTAAATCACAGCCTGCTCATTCATAACTGGGGACACGTAGCACTATGTGTCCCCAGTTATTTACAAACACCGGAGTGATCAGACGATGGCTCCGGTGTTTGTCCTTCTCACACGGAGGATCGGTAAGTATCACTGATACTCACCCATCCCCCGCTCTGCCACGCACAGAGCCGCTGTCGTCCTGAAACTGACAGGATGACAGCGGCTCCGAGACACAGGAAGGAGAGAGAAGAGACACAGGAAGGAGAGAGAAGAGACACAGGAAGGAGAGAGAAGAGACACAGGAAGGAGAGAGAAGAGACACAGGAAGGAGAGAGAAGAGACACAGGAAGGAGAGAGAAGAGACACAAGAATAAGAGAGATGAGACACAGGAAGGAGAGAGAAGAGATACAGGAAATAGAGAGAAGAGACAGAGGAAGGAGAGAGAAGAGATACAGGAATAAGAGAGACGAGGCAGAGGAAGGAGAGAGAAGAGATACAGGAATAAGAGAGACGAGACAGAGGAAGGAGAAAGAAGAGACACAGGAAGGAGAGAGAAGAGATACAGGAATAAGAGAGACGAGACAGAGGAAGGAGAGAGAAGAGACACAGGAAATAGAGAGAAGAGACAGAGGAAGGAGAGAGAAGAGATACAGGAAGGAGAGAGAAGAGATACAGGAAGGAGAGAGAAGAGACACAGGAAGGAGAGAGAAGAGATACAGGAATAAGAGAGACGAGACACAGGAAGGAGAGAGAAGAGATACAGGAAATAGAGAGAAGAGACAGAGGAAGGAGAGAGAAGAGATACAGGAATAAGAGAGACGAGACAGAGGAAGGAGAGAGAAGAGA